TTGTTGTTTCTCCCTCATATGGCATGAAGGGGAAAGTACTTTGGTTCCTTTGATGTGTGAGCTTTCATCCAAAGCAATAAACATTTCATTTTGCTGCAGTGAGCCAGCAAAAGACCAAACACATCAGCATGCCTGGCTGCATCAATTGCACAGTCCACATCACTGTGGACAAAACGTATAAACATTCCTATGTCTGCTTCTTCCTGATGAGCACACACAGCTGATTGGTGTCAACTGTTGCTGTCGAGCACCATACTTCGGTCTCATCCTGAAAGCCACAAGCCAGAATAATGGCTTTATTATGTAATGCTTGTATTAGTTGCTCAGGTAAAAATATTGCAATATCATGCAATATTTTCTGGAAGAGCAATCCATCCTCACCTTTACTGCCATGTTGCTTCCTTGCCTTTCCTGACTTATTGTGAAACCAACAAGGAACATGACTCTGGTGTCTGCTGCAATATGGGATATCAGGTTGTAAGACAAAGCTCATCAATAAAGGCTGAGAGAGTCTCAGTGATGCCTAAAATTCCACCTCCTTTCTGTCTTATGCCATTAAGCTGTTCTCGGCTGTGATCCAGGTCCATGTGGTTGTACTTCTGACATGATCTGTTGACAACTAAGTTCCCTTGCTAGAACTCCTTGAGCACTTCAGCCAGTACCTGGTGCATTTCTGCAATATAGATGGCACCCCACCATGCAAAGTTTGTATGTTCATATCTCAGGAGGGCCACCACTTCCATGCACTGCCACCAAAACCTGAAGTTCATACTACCTTTTACCTTTGCTGGTCACAAATTGTGGAAGTGAGATTTCAAGATCTGTGAAGTACAAACTGGTGTCCAGAAAAGCATAATTTATGTCAACATTGTCAGCTGTATGGTGAATAAACTTCATGGGAAGCAGGTAGGGAAGAACAGTACCACCATTCTCAGCATCCATAGTTTGTAGGGTTTTGTCTGCTAAAACTGTGTCCACCTTTAGGATTTTGTCATAAGTAATGCAGAATTATGGAAAAGCCAAACAAGTTGTTTTGACCTTGTCTAATGGAGGGTGGACCCAATATCAACATGTTTTGTTGTCCATTTCTTCCACACTCACACCATATATGACATCTTGAGCTATACTAAGCCTCCCAAACTTCACTGATCGTTTCACAAGATTCTTTTCAGCAGCATCTCCCTCCACAAAAAAGGTGGAGAAACATGTACCAGCTATCTGGAATGCAAGTAGCTACATCAATCTCTATGACATTGAAATCTTCATGGTCAGGGTTTGACAAAGTATCTCCCTGAATTTTTAATGCAACACATACCATTGACATAAATAGGTCTTCCTGGGATGGTAAAAGGGGATGGTTGCCTCATCTTGGCAAGAATCTGCCAGTTGTGAGATGGGTATGTATTTATAGTTGTATGGAACTAAGAGTATTTGCCACTCAGTAGGAGACTGATCAGGCAATGAAATGAAATAAAGTAAATCCAATGAGAGTCTGGAGCTTTTTCTTGCATTAATATCTACAGCTGATGATGTAGGAGTGTGCTGCCAGTTACCTTTGCAAGATTACAGTAATGAAGCCAAACCTCTTAAAAGATGGCCTTGACTGGTTGCATGCTGAAACTCACTTTGAAGCCAAAGTATTGTTGTGCTAGTAATTTTGGTGCCTTCACTCTTTTTCATCACAGTCCTGCTAAACAGGATGTAACAAGACAGGTAATATTTGCCTTCAGTAGTTATGAGGTCATTTACTCCAGCTAAATAAACCTTAATTTTGGTGGTTAACTAGAGCAGCCTTCATTATCTATTCACTCATCTTGAATGCAGTTATAGAGATGAGTCTCTTTAGGGTGCACTTCTTGACAAAACATGCAGCATTTCCACTCCATAGGTTTCACAGAACTGGACTGTCTTGTATTATGGGTGTAAGTGTTTTTATTAGGATCACTGCAGCTTGCCACATGTATTACATCAGTTGCAGAGGCTCTTGCTTTATGTAACCTCTGGATTTTGCCTGTGTTTGTGTATTGGTATGACCCTAAGCAACCCTGAATTCCCACCCCACACACTACTGTGATAATGTTTATATAAAATATGACTTATATGGTATCATGTGAAAACGAACACCACACTGGGCATTAATATAATGGTAAAATTCATGTGTTAATGTTACATGTGAAGTCATGAATTCCCTCTGCATAATGTTATTAGATCGGGATTCAGAAGACAGCCTAGGAAAGGTGACAAAGCAATGTGGGTTTACATAAGCTTTCATATTATCTGTAAACCAAGCTACCAAGCAAGCCAGTGGGGGCTGTCTCGAGCCTGAATTTGAGACATGGAGAGTGAGCATACCCCAGAGAGACACAGGAAACAATCCCCAGAAGGCCTTCCTAATTTTGAGAACAAAAGACAATTATTTTGGGAATGTAAGGGACAGAGAGTGCATCTTTATCTTTCCTAAGATGACAAGGGAAACCAACACCTTTGGTGGAAGGTCCTGACTGAGAGACTGTCAGGCATGCTGGACCAAGAGAAACAGGTGAGCAAAACCATCTTAAACAAAGACTGTGCCTTGCTAGATGAAGTTTTAGACCTTTAGATGCGTGTTTTCATTTATTTTGCTTGTAACCATCTCTACCTTTTTTCCCTTTACCTGGTGTCACTTAACCCATGTCCTGTTTTTAGTAAACATGTTTTATTTTAATGTAAACCAACTCAGTGCTGTGTTTGAATTGAAGTAATTGCTAACTTCAGTTAATGTGGCAAGCTGGTGAGTATTGTCTCTTTATAGGAGCAAATGAGCCTTATTATATCTGAGTAGTCCAGGAGAAGCCTGGGTATTTCAGGGAAGATGGCTTTGGAGAAATTTGGGACTGGAAGTGGGTTGGTCATCTTGCCAGGTGTAATCAAAGATTGTGGAAACCAGAGTGGAACTGTTGCAATGTGGCAGGCTGCAAGGTCAGAAGTGCTGAACCAGAGCTGCACAGCACACAGACACTCAGAATACTGCATGCTTGTCTGCTGCTCTTGGTGTCTGGGCTACGAACCACAGCATTTAAGACACCAGGGTTACAGGGCAGGCAGTGACACAAGCCCTTACTGGTCTAGACTGTACACCAAAATATGACATTTAGGCACAGCAATATCTGTGCCACACAACTGACACTGCCTGTTCTAAATGAAAGATGGATTACATTTTGTTAATGGCCTCTCTATATTAGACATCTTGCAGTTTCTTTCTACGTCTGCTGCCTCCCTTATTCTATGCCATCCTTGTTCATCTGTTTCACACACACATCTTCTTTACTTGTTTCTCAGCAAATACAGAGATTGTAGAAAATTGGTGTGGATCTCTTAAAATTTACTGCTGGTTCCATGGTTTACCTACAACTGCAACCGTTATGGGTGTCATAAACCACCTTAACTACCCTTGCAATCTCTATTTTTAAAATAAATATAACCACCATTACTTCTATGTTAATTCTACTCTAACTACAAAGCATTATGTACTATCAAACAAATACTAAGCAAGCAAGAAAATGATTTCACATATTTCAGGAAAAATAACTTGCAATATGATTTGTTTCCAATATTACAATATATGGATGACTGAACACTATACAAAGTTGCATATTAGGGTTCAATGGGTGTTAAACTAGGATGTGTATCTTCTCATTTCTGTTCTAAATAGACGGAAAAGAAATTATGCCAAACAATCTGATTTTGCTGACAAATTCATGCACATGCTGTTGGTATATCAAACATTTCTCATGACTTGGTGGCTATGATTTCAAGGTCTAAACTTGACCAGTCAGCTTGGTAACAAAATTAGTAGTTTCCAATTAGGTTAGAAAAAATTGTTTCCCACTTTTAACAAAAGAAAAGAAAAGAAAGGGAAAGAGAAAAGAAAGAGAAAAGAAAAGCCTGTAGACCCCTTAGAGAGGATTGATTGTTATATTTCCATCCAGTCTAGAATAGCATTCAAATAGTTTGGCAGTATTTCCCTCTCTACCATCACTGAATGAGGAAAAAAATAGTGAACAGAGTTTAAGGCTAGAAGGAACCACCAGATCCTTGTCTGATCTTCTGTATGTCACAGGCCACCAACACCACCCAGCACTAAACCCAACAAACAAAATTAGATCAAAGCATAACAAGCCATAGGAGCCTAGATATATGACACATGCATGTTCTTTCATTGTTTGACCACCACTATAAATGGTCAAATATTACTAGTCAAACAACTTATTCACCTCTGTTTTTCCAGTCACGGGATGAGTCAAATATTGATGAATAATTATAATTGTTGTTTGATGAGCTGTAGCAGAGGATGGAGGTGAAATATGAGAATGGATGCAGCAAACATTAGGAAGCTGGGACCATCAGGAAGCTGATATGCACAGAGCCTCAGTCACATTTTCTGTGCTGTATACTATTGTCAAGATTCCTTCCCCACTCTGAACTCTAGGGTACAGATGTGGGGACCTACATGAAAGACCCCCTAAGCTTATTCTTACCAGCTTAGGTTAAAACTTCCCCAAGGTACAAACTATTTTACCTTTTGTCCCTGGACTTTATTGTTGCCACCACCAAGCATTTAACAAATATAACAGGGAAAGAGCCCACTTGGAAACGTCTTTCTCCCCAAAATCCCCCCAAGCCCTACACCCCCTTTCCTGGGGAAGGCTTGATAGAAATCCTCACCAATTTGCATAGGTGAACACAGACCCAAACCCTTAGATCTTAAGAACAATGAAAAAGCAATCAGGTACTTAAAAGAAGAATTGTAATTAAAGAAAAAGTAAAAGAATGACCTCTGTAAAATCAGGATGGTAAATACCTTACAGGATAATCAGATTCAAAACATAGAGAATCCCTTTAAGCAAAACCTTAAGTTACAAAGACACATAATACAGGACTATACATTCCATTTAGTACAACCTATTTTACCAGCCATGAAACAAAAGGAAATCTAACGCATTTCTAACTAGATTACTTACTAACTTAACAGAAGTTCTGAGGAGTTATGAAGAGCATTCCTGATCTGTTCCCGGCAAAAGCATCCCACAGATGGACAGACAGCCTTTGTTCCTCCCTCTCCCTCCAGCTTTGAAAGTATCTTGTCTCCTCATTGGTCATTTTGGTCAGGTGCCAGCGAGGTTATTTTAGCTTCTTAACCCTTTACAGGTGACAGGGTTTTGCCTCTGGCCAGGAGGGACTTTATATTTCTGTATACAGAAAGGTGGTTACCCTTCCCTTTATATTTATGACAACTATATATCAGAGAGAGATTGCAAATTAAAAAAACACCACCACTTTTTTCAATTGAAACTATTTACACGTGTGCGTCCCCCTTTGCTCTAAGCCTTCCTGCATATTTTCCTGCTTCTTATAAATGGGCACTGCATCTAACACAGCTTCTTCTGACACTATTTTCTGTTCCATTAGTTAATTGCAGGGCTTTGGAGCTGTGCTCTGGCTCAGCTCCAGCACCAGGCAAAAACATGCAGCTCCACTGCTCCGGAGCTGCTCCGTGAGCTCTGCTTCAAAGCCCTGGTTAATTGCCTTTTTTCTTATTTCATAAAACCATGTAACATTTTCCCCAGTATCATGCAGTTAGCACAGATAGCCATGCATGGCAAAAAAATGTGCTTTATCCCTTAGTCTTTATTTGCCTCAAGGGATCATTATGGAAAACAATTGTCTGTTCTTTATTAAAGGCTGCTAAGGCAATATAATCCTCCTCTCCCCCTTTTTTAATTTTGATGTTACTGTCTCAGCTGGAACAGAAAGGGCCATTTAAGTTTTCTGTAAAATGAGCACTATGCGCTTGTGGTGGAAAGTTATGGAAGAACGCCTCACTTAAAAGCAATATCCAATTTTTATGACCACCACTGAACAAATATAAAGAAGCCATAGCAGTGCTCCTCAGATGTACCTAGCAATAATGTGAAATCAATTTTCTACTTCATTAAGAAACATAAATGAATGAAAACAAACATGCACATTTTGCCACGTTTAAACATATGAACTAACTTATTTAAGAAACCGGAGCAATAAAAATTAAGTAGAAACTAGAAATGGGCCCTAGTGATGAAATACAGGATTTAAATAACTTTCCCCAAAATTGTAAAGTGTCACATCCAGACTCTCTCAAGTAAAATCTAATCTGGGATTAATTTAAAAGCAGTGTCCACTGTTATGGGGCCACTGGCTAACACTTCAGATATAATCATAGCACCAACAGCATCTCTGTATCCCCTACATCCCTCTGCTGCTAGTACAGAGTGATTGTCTCACAGGACTCTTCCTCCCCCTAAACACTGTGGTGCTAATGCATAACTTCTCTTTATATTGGGCCCAATTGTACAACCCATACACGGAGTAGCATTTTCAGTCAATTGGACTACTCACATCAGTAGGGGGATGATCTAATGCTCAATAGAAAAAAACTTAGTGGACATTGGATGGAGTCCTCTGTGTTACTCAGAATGGGCAAGGATTGAAGAATTTGGCCAATGAGCTGTAGAGTTTAGTCAAATATTTGGTTAAACTCTGTCTCATTTTAATATTATGAGGGAAACTGCTCTGAAGTTTAAGGGGGAGCTTGCTTTTGTTTGTATTTTAAATAGATAGGTTTCAGTTATTGCATTTTGTTTCTGACATCTGTTAATAACTGAATAAAACTCTAAACCCCTAAAAAGTTTGCCCAAAGTGGAGAATCAAGGGCTGCTCCAATCTCTATAAAGATCTGCAGTGCTGCCTTTGCACTGTTCTGTCCCTCTAACTGAATCAATATGCAAGGGCTGGAGTAGCCTTAAGGACATGAATGCCGAGTGCTGGTATCACTGACCTGTCTGTTGGAGGAAGCAGATGTACTCTACCAAAGCTCAGTGCCAATATTCCTTAAGAGAGAGCACACCACATACATGGATCACAATGATGGATGGCCTCTTCCTCTCGTGATACTAAAATTGTAGTCACTCTCTCAATTTTAAACAGACTCTCATTAAAATGGCAAGTTTCCCCTATGACTGAGTATGCTGCAAAAGTAAGCTATTTTCCCGATTAGGTTTTATGTCATGTTGGCACAATGACCTCGCAAGCTTTCAATTCACAGCTATGTAGCTGAGGAAAATGTACTGGTAACTCAATATTAGCTGCTTCCAAACGACTCTCTCCTGTGAATGAGAAGCTGCACCCACACAAGGTCTGTTCTTGAATAGGTAAACAAAACAGAATACAGAGAAGACAAGAGTTAGTTTAAAGCTATCGGAGTGAGTGTCAGCATTCTGAGCAAAAACAGGGAGACTTCTGTAGTGTGGAACAAATGTGAAAAAAAAAAAAGTGAGCAAATTCTATCCCTTCTTCTGCAGATATGAAGAGCTCCACACAGAGCAGGAACTGCTGCAATCCCAATGTGCAACGGGCCAGGATGCAAGGATTTCCTCCAAAGCATGCATACATCCTGCACAATGAATAACTGTGGTCCGAGGAAGCTGTTGCAAAGGAGGAATTTGGGGCACGCATGGGGAGAAACAAGTGATCATGATTAGGTACATCCACTAGTCATCTTCCCCACCGCCACCCCAACTAACAGAGACAGTTACTATAGTTAGGCTGCAGCAGCGACTGCAGGTTGTCTGTGTTACCCCTCAGTGACAGTGTGCCTGCTACTATCTCTGAGTAATCGCAGACTTTCCTTGCAACAAACACATGTGCTCAGCTTTGACATGAATAAAACAGTGTTATATTCCTAAGTCTACACACACAGTGTTATATTCCTGTGTCAAACACTACCTTCAGAAGTGTGAACTTCACCATTCATGTGATAGTAAATATGAAGTCGAGTGTTGACATTTTAAATGACAGCACTGGTAATTATTTCACTGCTAATAAGTTTAGGTGAAATCAGCTGTGGGTGTTTTTAAACAGTCACATTCACCTCACTTTAGTGTCTTCTAGCAAGTACTACTCACTCCCTTCTTCTGGATCCAGAGGAGAACCTGAATGATGCTATGGTTTTATTTTTGTAACATAAGGACAGATGCGGGAAACCAGATCTGTAACATGAATCCTGCAGTTACTTTTTATTAGTAGTTTAATTGAAAGGGTATTTAATCAAAGTATAACAACTTTTATATTAACCCTTGAGTAGCTATTTTCACCAATTGCCTGCAGCTCCTTCATCCTCAGTAGCAAATGGCTCCATTACTAAGAGGTTCTTTTGTCAGAAGACAAACATCCATTGGCCATTTCTTTTGCTTTCTTTAGTCATCATTAATAGTCAGTGGGCACCTGAAGATTTACTGGGGACTCCCAAACTATCTTTTGAATCACATTTGAATCAGGCTGTAATAAAATTTGCCATCTGAGAAAATAAGATTCAAAAACCTTTTCTCCCTCCACATGCAGACTGATATGCTCTTCTGTATTTGCCATTCTATGGACTGCCTAGTACAATTTCTTGTTGGTGTTTCTTCCAGTACATGCTTTGAGAAAACTTCAGTGAGCACAAAAAGCCTACAGCCAGATTAATCACCAGCACACAGAGAAGCCATGACCACATTCCCCTTTTTTTCAGTCTCAGCACTGGCTTCTCGTACAGTTTCAAACTGATTTAGAAGTAATTATTCTAATGCGTAACACCCTACATGACCTTGCTCTTCCTTACTTATTTGACAAACTCAGGAGCCCTCTACAGCCTTTGTTCTCCGTAGCTTAGTTTATTAATTATCCCCAAATATAAATAGTAGCCAGCAGGTGTCAAAGTCTCCATAAATTGCACTTTAAAGGAATTGCTGAACTAAACATTTGTTGCAACAGCAGCTCATTTCATGTCAGTGTATAGAAGTAGACTAAAGAACTATTTCCCTCTGCCCTCAGTTTTTCATTTTGTTTAACGAGCTCCAAAGGTTGTTTTCTGTACAGCCTAATATATGTTAACACCTCTTCCCTTCACACTTTGAGCTTTGTTGTATTGATAATGGTAACCAGGCAAAGGACTTTCCGGAGGAAAAGGGGGAGGAACCTGTATTATCAAATATATTAACAATGCAGAAGAAAAGGTTTGAAGTAATACACTTCCTGCATATTCCTCTTGGAGCAGATTTTACTGATGTTAAATGCATCAGAAATCAAGTTGCCCCACTGAACATCAGCTGTTTTTTGATAGCCTAAAAGAAAACCATGAGCCATTCAGAAAGTGCAGTGTGCTTTGCTCAACAATTTCAGAAGTGCCTCATGATTTTGAGTGCCTCCATTCTGGATGCTCAACTTAAGATGCCTCAAAGGGACTTGATTTTCAGAGAATGAACTGACAGATTTTCAGAAAACCAATAGTGTGTCTCAAACTTTGCCCTCAAAAAGGGAGGCATCCTAAATCATTAGTCACTTTTGCATATCTTGGCACTGTCTCATTACCAGAGTTTGGAATATCTACCCAACACCTACTAGCCAGAGCAAAAAATCCAACCTAAACAAGACAGACCTGGGCAATCACATCCCTTATAATTTAAGGATTAAAATACTGGTGTGCTGCATTTGGTCATTAATTACAGTCTACTGTCTATCATCTCAACTGGTTTTGTTAAATCATCTTCCCCTTTCTGACTGCACTTTATTTTTTGTTTCTTACCTTTCCAGTAATAGATTCTGGTGTGCCTTTGCCTCAGTTGTTTTCAATGTGTGTGTTTTCTCTTTTCCTTCTTTCTTCTTCCATCCATTCTTTTATTTCTCTTTCTCACCCTAAATTATTTACCCTACCTCCTCCACATACTCTCTCTCTCCTTTCTCTTCCCCAGATTCTCTCTTGGTATCGTATTTGTCTCTCCAAATATCTCAAATATCTCTTTCATCTTGCTCTGCACCCCATCCTGTCAACCTCTGCATATACCCACGTTCCCAACACAATGCAAACAGCCACTCACATATGGAGCTTGGTAAATTTTACTAGAAACCTAAGAGACAGGGGACTAAACACAAACTGAAGACTGATGCTAAAGATAGTGCCTCCACTGTCAATATGCAAGTGAAATGCCATCCCCACGCCTAGCTGCTGGGAGAAGGAAAAGTGCTGGGATACCATGGCGCTGGAGGCTGTGTAAGTAGTGAGACAGATTCCTACTTGGATGCCATCTTTGG